AAGCGTTGTTGTGGCGCCTCAGATATGCACAATATTTGCTTTTTAATTGACAATCGCACAACTATGAACGCGTAAATCTTGAGCAATATTGGTGGGCACTGAGAACGGGGTTGGCCGTTTGGTGACATTTGAGGTATCGTTAGGACGGACAAACAGACAAATGTACAGACAGACAGACAGACCAAAACTTTTTTGTTGAAGGTCCCCAAGAAAGGCTGTCGTCTTTAAAAAAATTTGCAAGTCGCAGTTCCAGCAACGTCATCGCATGCTTTCTCCCGGTAAATATCGCTTTCTGGCAATATTTACCGGGATATTTACTAACGAATGAGTAATATCGCTTTCTGGCGATATCTACTGGAATCTTCACGCGATGAATTCGGAAGGAGCTGGGGAGTGCCCTACAGAGGTGAATAATGAAAAGAAGGGGTTTTTTAAGGCCCTATACAGGCGGACCACCCCTGAAAAAACTTCTGGCTAGTGGTCTGCATTCAAGTGTACAACCACCTATGTACTTCGCTATAATTCCCGCGTTGCCTTTAAAACATAGAGATATCTCAGCACGCTTCTCACAGAAGTGGAGCTGCATGCCTCTCCACATTTGTGCAGTTTTGAAATACACTAGAAAAATGAGCATGTACTAAGGATTGGAGCATATGTGTTCTAGTAAAGACACGTTAACGGTGACGATCTACTCTAAGGTAAAATGTTTTGGGGAACTAAAGGGTTCAACTTTTTTCAACATTAAGATTGTGGTCATAACCGCAGAGAATAACTGTCTTAAGTGGCGGTTTCATTATGTCTAAATAGGTTGCGACTCGACATGTGGAGTCTGACTTGGACATTGTCGGAGTTCAACTTTGTTCTATTCAGCCAAAGTCTAGTGCTCGTACTACCTGCAGAAAAACTAAATGAATAAAGGCAAGTATGTGGCATCAGCTTCAGTACCTGGCTTTTTTTCCTCAGAAGGGAAAGAAAGATTCATTCATTTGACAAAGACAGATGCTTTATCAGCTTGCTCTTCTTTCTCAGCAGGGAAAAATTGGTTCATTCGGACAATATGTGTTGAGCCACCAAGAGGCCTGAAAAATGCTGGGAGCTGCGGCACTGAAACAACATTGGCTGAAGCTGCTACTGATGCTTCATGTGGTGAAGCACCGCACTGCCGTGAAGGCAGCTGCTGTATGTGTATTTGTTGAAACGGGCACCTTCAGGGTCATGTGCACCTGCGTAACTGGGATGGTTCTAATACACACAAATAAAAAAATTCAGGGATTGGTCTCATGCGCAATCGCTCATCATATTGCATTATTTCCTGCTAGCTTTCTTTGTTTACCAGGTTATGTGTGAAGCATGTAAGTGAACAGCTACTGTACATTTCATGCTTCATACGTTCATTCTTCAACTGTATGTCAAATTAAAAACGAATGAGCCTTCTACTGTGTTTTGAGCTGCCGCTGTTCTCGCTGTTGCCTAGTGCACATTTGCATTTCTTTACGCAGTTGTCTGGATATTTCTTGGTGAGAATAAAAATACCATGTACAAGAGCACTTTTGTTAAGTTGTGTACTTTTTACATTGTGCCGTCTTTGTGACCATTCGGTAATAAAATGACTTTATATAAAATAGCTTAAGGTTGTTTTAAACCACAACATGCTTAAAATATTAAAATGCTTCTGGTTTTACGATAACTTCCGTCGTGCCAGGTTGAGTTTCAAATCACACGAAATATTTTTTCACCTGAGAGTTGAGAGCTGTAGCAGTTCAGCTGCCATCTATGACACCAGCTTGCGGCACAGTGTCTGGATGCATAAGAATGAAAACACTAAGTTATTGTCTTTATTACGTAGCGAAGGTATACAATGCATATACGTTCCAATCTAACTTTTGTGCAATACCAATGTACAGAAACAGAGCAGAACTAACCTAGCTGGCAGAGGTTCCAAGACCGTGCCACACTCTCTGACACTTTTCTCGGGCAGTGTGTGATGCTGCAAAAAAGCAGCAATTTTTGTTACCAGAAACACAATGGGTGACACTGTGTTTAAGTGTAGTCATTGCATTTGCACTGACACATATGCACAATAATTTCAAATACGTAGCCTGACTGCTTTTTTGTGTAATAAAAACACTCTGCTAAAAATCTCGTATAAAACTAAAGAAGGCTGGAGAGTTTATTTTGGTCGTAAAAAGTTTTAGGCATTTTCATTTTTTCTCCTATCTCACAGAGAATGAACACGTTAAGTCTGCTTGAAGTTTTACTAATTAGTAGTTATTTTTCATTCTTCAATGAACTACTCAGTTCACCTTGTTAAATGTGAAGTTAACATTTCATTGCACTGCTATGATTGGGTGTTCCAGCATTATCGTGGAAACAATTCAAGTATTGCAGTTATATATAGGGTAAATAACTAAGAGCCACTGTGGTGCCAACATTTCTAGGATTTTTTTCTTTCCCCGCAGAATGTGCTACAACATGAAGCAGCCTGCTCATAATGAGCTCCATAAACAGTGGTATCCTTTTTCATTGATATGTGGTGTTTGGCGTCTCAAAACCATCATATCAATATGAGAGACGCTGTAGTGGAGGGCTCCGGAAATTTCAAACACCTGGGGTTCTTTAACGTGCACCCAAATCTGTGCACACGGGCCTACAACAATTTCGCTTCCATCGAAATTGCAGCAGCCGCAACGGGGAGTTGATCCCGTGACCGGCGGTTCAGAAGCCGAGTATCCTCGGCCCTATACCACCACGGTGGGGCATATAATCTTTTTAATTAAGTTTCTCTCAACGCAGTCGATGAATCAAACCAACAATCAATCAGCACACTCTCTATACGGCAAGGTTCTCTTTTCACACAAGTAAAGTGTATGCACCCAGTTAAATAAGTGAACAAATACGGTAGAAAAGCATACGCACTACAGCTAAAGTATAAGATTTACAGCAGCTTTAGACGGCACTGCAAGATGATTTTTAAACATTCCGTGCTATTGCCATTTGGCATGATTAAATCATGAGCAATGGGGCCGTACCAAACTAGCGCTAACGCACACGAGTTCCACTACTGCAGGATTTTATTCGAGCTAATCGTGTAGGTAAAATGTATGGCACACACTTGAACCTACAGGTTTTCCCGCTCACTTTAATCCAAGTGCCAGCCTAAATAATCTGCACGCCATTGAAATAATCTGAACGCTGAGCTATTTAATCCATGTGCCAAACATTTATTCCAAGCGCCAACATATTTAATCCAAGCGCCAACTCACTCAGGCCACGTGCCATTGAGTTTAATCTAAGTGCCACCGTGTTTAATACAATTGCCAATGACTTAAATTCAGGTGCCAGTCAGTTTAATTCACGCACAAAAACCAGACTATGGGGCGTAAAAACGGCAGTGCAATTGAAATGCAGTTCCTACAGTATAAAAGACAATAGTCGGAAGGTAGAATCAATCATTATTATTTGTATTCGCCGATAGTATTCTTGACAAAAATTACTGCCGTGGTTCGCTTAAGCCATGTTTGGAGTGCTTATACTTTGCTATGCGCAAGTTTGTATAATGAGTGCTTGGCCCAGGTAAAATAAATTTAATGAAAACGAAAAAAACGCAGGAACATATTACTGAATATTTTACAGTGTTATGAAATTCAGTATCCGTCACTGAAGCTCAGAATTGCCTTTGGTACACACTACAACATTACATGACCAGGACAGGGCATGTAATGCGGACGACACACTATGTTTATTGGAGTGCCGGAACGCATACTAAGAGATTAAAAGCATGGTGGCGGGCACTGATGGGTCAAAGACAGCTACATAATCAAGAAATTGAGAAGCCGTCGCGCGGCACGCACTGTGAATTAGAGATAATTCCAATATGTTTTTTTTCCTGTAGTGAACATAAAACATGAACTGATCATCCTGATGTGGCAATAGAGGTTTTATTTCCCATTATTGTATGCTCATATTTTTTAATTCAAAGTTAAATGTCTCCAATGATACGAACAGTACTGATAGTTCGTTTAGCTTGTTAGTTTTGTGACGTACTTGATGAATGCGATGAAACGAACACAGAGGAAACAAAATGATAATAACACGCAACTGACCTTGGGCCTGGCTTTCTTTTTTTTGTGTACGTGTTTTTTTTGCGCGGCATTATGCCTCTCATCGCACATTGGAAGCTTGCGGATTCAGTGCAATCACTAAATTATTTGTTCTTCCCCCCCCCCCTGTCTATCTCTACACACACAAACACACACACACACATATATCTATATATATATATATATATATATATATATATATATCTATATATATATATATATATATATATATATATATATATATATATATATATATATATATATGTGTGTGTGTGTGTGTGTGTACACATACATACATATACATATACAGGAAAACAAGAGTGATTACTACTAATTATTCAAGAAATGCAACATAGGCACAGGTTAGTGTATTTATTAAAACAGAACTGTCTCATAGGGCTCGGAGACGGATGTTCACAAGTCATCTCCACGCAAAGCGGCAGGCACGAAAGAGAAATCGTGCCGATCAAAGGCCGCGCAGTCCACGCGCTGTATTTGTTGAGTGGAGCGGCGAGCCGCATCCAGCAGCAAAGAACGCCTGTGCTCCTTTTTCGTCATGCCTCGCGGTGTCACTAAAACTAAATTACGACGTTCGGTCAGGTAGGCCTTCACGTGAGACTTGAATTTCGAGAAGGCTTCTTCTATAGGGTTAAAGAAGAGACTGTACGCTGGCAGGCGCTTAATAGAGTGCATGGAGTTAGCCGAAGCCGCCTGTCCTGCTCGAGCGTGAGCAGATGCATTATCAAAAAGGAATACAGCTTCGGTATTTGGCTCATCACGTTCTACGCGGGCCGAAACATCACTGAGGAAGTCATTAAAAACAACCCAATGAACTTTGGCCACCACAGTCCAGTGAATAACTCCATTTGCGGACATGCATGCTATAATGTTCAAGTTTACTCCCTTTGTCGTTGTGGTCATGTGCACAGCTGGTTGTCCTTTAGCTGCCCTGCCGAAGTTCCTGGAACACCAGATATTGAAGTTAGTCTCATCCAAATAGAAGCGGCAAACACGCAGTCTTTCAGACTGCAGCCATTGGGCGTACAGCATGCGGCTGTGCTTGATATCATCACGGTTGCAATCTGTGGGCCTGTGCATCACTAGCTTCATCGAGTAGCAGTGGGCATCCAGCAAGCGGTCGACTGTGCTTGCACTGATTGTTACTCCTGGCATTTCTTTCTCCAGGGCCTCCATTATTTGCTTCAATGTAAATGTACAGTCTTCGTCGATAATTCGTCTCAAAGTACTCACGACGTCATCTCCAAACTTCCTTTTTGAACCCCCACCATGCTTTGATGTTTCTCTGTCGGTAGCGGCAATCGATCTTTCTGTTTTAATGTTGATGCCTAGAGCGTCGGCCAGTTGCTTTAATTCACCGCCACGCCTGTAAACGTCCACAATCCTAGCTCTGTCGACCACCGATACTCTGCTGTTTTTTTCGACGAGGTTCGTCGGGGTTCTTAAAGTGTGGCCCTTGTTTGTGTCCAGCCATGACTTCAAGCAAAGCTCTCTCTTCGTCTGCAAATGTTCCCGTAGGAAAACACACGTTTCAAGTAAACACGCTTCAGCTACACTAAGCGTCGTCTGTTACATGAAAACCGGAGTATTTACTTTGATGCTTTTATAACAACGTATTTCCACATGAACCCGAATAAATGCAAGTTTGGTATTTTTAAGTGTGTATTTCTGATTTCACGAACGAATGAATATCATCTGTCGGTCACTGTTCTTCCTGGGCTGGGCAGACGACTGCGGTAGCGTCAGCGCATAAGTAGCCAAATGCCATCTGCTCAGCAGACGACACGAATCTATGCATATGCGATGGTGTAGATGGTTAACCGAAATGAAGCAGTAGCAATGCAATAAAGACTAACATGGACTCTATGAGCAAATACATTTAAGTACCCATAAATGCAATTTCTACTGAGTGTTTTTTTTTATTTTGAAGCTATGACACCAAAATGTGAAGGGGAAGTCGCACGGCGCACTTCATTTCATAAGCGCTACCATGTATAGCCGGAGAAACGTTCTTGCTGTGACGCCATGTTTACGTTATTCTGACATTTATACTATATATAGTGGCTAACTATGTGTTTCTAGCGCATGGATTCAACTGACTGGCGCCTGAATTAAAGTCATTGGCAATTGGATTAAATACAGTGGCACTTGGATTAAGCTCAATGGCACGCGGCCTGAGTGAGTTGGCGCTTGGAATAAATATGTTGGCGCTTGGATTAAATGTTTGGCACATGGATTAAATAGCTCGGCGGTCAGATTATTTCAATGGCGTGCAGATTATTTAGGCTGGCACTTGGATTAAAATGAGCGGGAAAACCTGTAGATTTGGCAACAGGGCCTACGATGTATACTATTGTGCAGTCATTTAAGGTATAGCTTTGGATTGACATGCACCCTGTCATTTTATAATCAGTTCTGGCACCGCCGAGTCTTTCGGCATGTATAAAGCTAGTGCGATGATGACCACATTGCATAGAAGAGACGAATTGGTTATAGTTATCACTATCGAGGTTAAGTGAAATTTCCCGAACTCCCATGCGCGAACCGTGCACACTGTGCGTAGCGTATGGTCTAGATCAAACATGAACTTACCTTTTCACCGGGGAAGTCAAAAGACGCCAGTGCATTGGCTCAGAAGGAACGGGTCTTCAGATCACTACCAAAACGCTGCATAAGTACGGACTTGAGTTTATAATTTTTCTGTTTAAAGTGGTGACCGCAAACGGGTAAATCCTGCCGTTGATCCGATATGGGAAGTCTAATGCACTGCAGCTACTCCGTACACCTGCTGCCTTTTATAAGTACACGGTGTCGTATCTTCCCTAACCGCCAATCGGCGGACTTGCAGCCCACAACGCAGAAAGAAAGATTGATGTTGTAACAACAATCATGCAATAACCACTGATCGCGCCGCTTAGGTCGACACGAGCACTTATGTAACGTTCGCCGTGCGCCGGTAGTCCCAAAGCTTAGTGAAACTCTGATTGCGTTCTATTTATTTCTGATATTTTTTTAAGGAAAACAAATTATAAAGTGTTTTAGAGATACTGAACAATGTGTGTTCACAGCTTATTAGAAAACAAAATGCCTGTGCCGCGCGTTCCACAGACAGTCATACCAGCTTACACGATGACGTAAATGGGGCAGAGAATATCGCTCTGTGAATGGGTGGATGAAAACTGTTTTTGCAGAGTCGCTGGTACCTGCAGCGATCTACAGCATTTTGCAGCTCTAAAGCATTGGCAGAAACTACATGCAGAAAGCTCAACTCGGTCTCTAAATGACCGTTGGGACTTAGTCGTCCAGCCCAATGTCTTCGTAAAAATCGTCAAATCTGTTTCAAGGTTCTTCAATGTATTTGCGAGAAGACGCAATGTAGAAATAAACTTTATATGTAGAAATAAAGCAGTTGTCTGCGGTGGCTGCTGGGGGAAACACCAACACGTTGCCTTCCGCAGTCTCGCGGTCAGCGATGCAGTCATGGCTCAACTCATCGTAAAATCACAACAGGTAACATCTGCGCTCATAAATCACACAGGGCAGCATAGCAACCGTCGGTGAACTTGTTAGACTCATTACCGCAACACAAGTGAGCTCCGTGACATTTCTCGTGCCCGTAAGTACGAAAAAAAAAACTACTCGACATTGATTGCTGCCGTACAAGAGACCTACCAGCGCATTTCGACGTACGCAGCGCGACATAGGCGAATATAATGAGATAAAAAGAACACAGACGAGCCCCAGAGCGATGTTAGCATAACCAAGTCAGTTGATGCAAGGTGGTTAAGCAAAACAACCTGCTTATCATAAATAAATAATTTATTCTTCTAGACAGCATTTTGAATAACATTGGCACAATTATTGATCTTCTGAGTAGACTTCACGGTAGTCATTCATACAATCGAAGTTTGCGCTCAGCCGTAGAATCCGCGGCCATAGCCTCCATATCCGCGGCCATACCCGCCATAGCCGCGGCCGAAACCGCCACCGTATCCGCGGCCGAAGCCTCCTCCGTAGCCACCGTAGCCCCTTCCGAAGCCTCCACGTCCGAAGCCGTACTGGGCGGCTGCCATGCTGCAGACGACAGCGAGCACCAGGAGGGCGAGAAAAAAGGACTTGCTGCTCACGGCAATCATGACTGTGGTCGGCTGGAGATAAACATCGCAAGCATTAGGCATCAACTGAACCTTGACGTAAGTACATATAAAGCAAGTCGCGTACGACGGCCACGGGGTGAGGCTAAAAACAATGACAGTTGAGGAATGTTCTCCACAGAAGTGCAAAAGAATGCGCAAAATTGTAGGCTGTGATATTTTACATTTTAAATATTTTGATCAACTTCATTCGTATTGATAAAAAACTTCAAATCAAATTGCTGTAAAGACGGTATCATTGCAAGTCCACTGTATTTAGAATATTTTTATTGTGCAGTGTTATAGGCTTCATGTGCAGAGGCTTACACAGTTAGCCAAAAATGCCGTTGAAAAATTCGCTGGCAATGTTGCTTACATTCTATGCCGCTTGTATTATGTAACCTTAACGACATGAATGCATGTATCACATCACATATATAAAGTGTCAGGCACCTTGCGAAGATTTATTACCCAATAGGTGGGGTTTAATCAGGTAGACATAAACAAATGTAGTCAACAATAGCGTTGTGTTATGCATGTGCTAGCTAAACTTTCGGTCCTTTAAATTTTATGCACTTCATTCAATTGTCCCAGAACTGTGTACCTTTAACCACGTGTAGGCTGATTCGGGATGGCGCCCATATTCACCATACCAAAAACATCTCTGAACTGTTCAGTAAGCGGCGTGCCTTTATTACGTTAAATTTCTTAGCAATTTGAAGTTTGTTAGATTGACAGCATAACTTCATAATTGTAGAGTAAATATCTACATCAACATTCAATGGGATCAGTTGCACGAAATCCCTATTTTTCATTATGTTCACATCACCCCTGTAATATGCGCACGATGGCGAGAAAGAAACAAACATGATTCAATTTTATATAGCTGTGATAGTACGGTATGGGTCCGATATAAAATTTAACAAAATGACCAGAAAACTAAAAGTTTAACAATATTGAACGATGTAACCTGTTCATGTTTTTCAAAGCAGAATAACTTTTACACAAGCTTTAACTTTCAACGCTTACCATTGTCTCTCAATTAATTTATCTTAATTGAACAAACTACGCAAGAAAGTGTAGGCCTAGTACTACCATCGAGAGCTAGACATGTGATGCGCATTCTGGGATAATTTGGCAAATATACCGTGTCAAGGGCACTCAAACCACAACAATCAATGTACCCACCTGAAGTTCTATGTGCGCTGGCTTCAAAGGTGGTTGTGTGTTCCCTGACGGTGAACGCGCCGGCTTATATGCAGCTCTTCCCAGCCACGTGCCGACGCGTCCTTCGCGTTCACGCCCTTCTAATTGAAGCGATCTGTCAGGGAAGTCCCCTTTCTTACACCGCATCAAAACAAGCGATTGAAGGATGGCCGACTCAACTGTCGTATCGATGCCAAAAGGTCGTTTTCAGTTGGCACTGAAACGGCCAGAGCGTGTATCTTGGCTGTGACTAACCGAGAGTTGTAATACTAAGTATCCGAATAGCTGGTCAAAGGAGATATTTATTAGCACTTGGTGTTTATAAATATGTGCGTCGTGCACATGAGATTTACTCTACGTAGGCTTTGTTTGTTCGTTTCAAGCACATGTTCAAAGGCTGTTTGATCACCGTGTGAAATAAGCGCTACTAATTTACATAAAATTTTTAGTTTCGAGAGTACAGGAGGGTAAATACTAAGCAATTATCTTATTGTTTGACAGAGCGTACAGCTTTTTCCATGTTTTAACTTATCAAAACAAATAGTTGCGAATAGTGCACGTTTAGATTGTCTTGGATATGAGTATACGAGTACATGAAAGAATTGTTTCACTACATTACACCGTTAATGCGACCTTTGAATGCGATGTTTCAGTGTACCTGCTGGAGTGGAGTTTGCTGATATATCTCCTTGAAAATTCAAAGTGCAGGTATTCGCACTAATTCTCTATGCAACGGAGAATATACAATATCATCGTACGGTAATTTTGTCATTGCGTGTGCAAAGTTCTCAGGTATTTAAATAAACCTATTTTATTTGTTGTGGCTTTATAGCCAAT